TCCTTTTGCTAATCGCGTAGAGTGCTCGTCTGCTTAATGCGCGAGATCGCCTCATCATAGTTGAGGTAGCTTGACACTCCAAACTGCGTGAGTAAATCTCGCTCAAAATCACCCCACGTGATCGGCTGATTGCAGGTTCCGTATACGCTTGTGGGCTATTGCCACCACATGTTGGCCTCTCCGTCTAGGTAATAGGCTGCATATCTAACCCAGTGCCTCGCCGGCGTCTTGTTCAATTCAAAGTACTGTATCGCCCGATTGAGCCACGCCTCGGGGTCGTTCCCAATGAAGGTCGAGAGCATTATCTTTGGCTTATCAACCTTTGGCCTCTCATGCATGTTGGACGCTTGCGAGTTCCGCTCGAATTCCTCCTCCTCGCGCTCCCACTGTTGTTCCTGTTGCCGCAGACGCTCGCGTGCATTTGTGAGAGTTCGCTCGTGTGCGTGCTGTTGCTGCTGGAGTTCTTGAAAGTTTCGCCCCATCTCCTCGAACTTTTGGGTCATGAATTGCATCATCTCCTTCATGGCCACCTTGTGAGACCCGAGTTCTTCCCCCATGGTTGACATGGTCTCGGTCATGCCCGAAACACGTGCATCAAGGCCATCGATTTTGTCTTTCATCTCTTTGTTGGACATCTCCTTCTTTTCTTTTTTTCTTTATTTGCTACGAGGACTCGTGTTGATTTTTTTTTATTATTATTTTTTTTGAACGAAGAAAGATTGAACAAGGAAAATTAAAAATTAGAATCAGGAGGAAGAAGAACACACGATCAAACACCTCTCAATGAAAGCACCAATGATGAAGATCGTGTGTTCGGCCTTTCGACAAGCCACGCGAGTGCCTTAAATCGAGATAAGGTCTCGAAGATCCGCGTCCACAGTCCTTCGAAACAAGTAAAATTACAATAGAAATCAAGGAAATCTACGCAAAGTGTTTGAACAAAAGTTCGGATTTTTGTATAAAAAAGAATCAATTGTCTTTTTCAAGTACCATGCGCGCCTATTTATAAAGCTCAAATAAAAGTTTATTCCTAATCTACTAAGGCTAATAGACTTAATCTAGGAAAACAATAAAACATGAAACATTCTAGAAAAAAGGAAAGATGATCTGATTCTAATCTGATGAACATGTCCGCGTCGCCTAACACTAGCCGCCATTGTGCGCGCGCGTTGCCTTACTCCTCAAGGACTAGGTTACCTTTGCCACACCGCGCGCCTACGTCTTCCACATTACCCATTCCTTGTGCGGTTAGGTCTTCTAGCGCGTGAAGCCCCTCATCCGTGTTCGCGCTACCGCATTCTTGGCCGAACTCATTGCGCGCGTCGCAGCCCACGGGCGCACGCCCGCTCACGAGTTGGGCCTCGGCAGCCCGACGGCTTAACCTCCGCCGTGCATGATAAGCGCGGCTCGCCGCATTCTTCAACCTTCTTGCCTTGTTCTCATCAGTATGCGTGCACGTGGGGCAGCACTCCTATGCCTAGGCAGACTGGGCGCTGGCATCTGGGACCACGCGGGCGTGTGCTGCAAGTCTCTTGGGCGTTCGCAGGATGATGCGCGTGTACTCCTTGTGTACTGGGGATGCGCGAACGGCGACTGGTGAGATGTACGGGCGATCGGCAACGAGCGATGGCGCTAGGATCTCGCAGATGTCGCACACGGAAGCTGCTGGGAGTTTGGTGATGGGCCTGGCTGGGCGAGACTGCGAGCGACGTCTTGCGGTGGTGATTGGCTGGGCCTGGCTGACTTCCGGCGGCGGTAGGTGATTTTCGGCGACTCCTCACGACGGTGGACGGCGGTGATGAGATGGTGATGCTGATGACCGGAAATATATGTATATTAGAGACTCAATATAATGTATCAAAAAGCCTTCTAATGGATTACCTAAACACCTACTTTGATCAAACTTGGTGGAGCGTTTAATCGAATCTCCCTAACTCTCGAACAAAGCTATTTATCGTGTGTATGTAGAGAGAAAAGTCAGCCAGCATCACTTATGTATGAGAGATTGGGGACATGGTGTATTTATAGGCTCCATTAGGGACCTTAAGGAGGTACTAAATATGTGCTTATCCCATTTAGGCCTAGGAATCCTAATTCTACTCCAATACTAATTTAATGTAGGAAGGAGATCTCTACTAATCTCCATCTTCTAAAAGACTCCTAAGTCTCCTAACACAAGAGGTGATCCTAGTAGAAATATATTTCCTAATTAAATTAATAATCATGGAATAAAATTAAATCCTTATTTAGGAAGCCTAATTCTACTCCAATTAATTATTTAATGTAGGAAATATATTTCCTACTAATCTCCATCTTCTAGAAGACTCCCAAGTTTCCTAATCCCAAGAGGAGATTCTAGTAGGAATTTTATTCTCATAATTAAATTAATCAATATGGAATAAATTAATTCCTATTTAAATGGAATTAAATAATAAAATTGAGCCTCCATGATTAATTAATATTAATTCGATTGATCGATTTACCTCCCTATGTTTAAGACATAACGTTCGTTGATTAATTAAATTACTGACAAAATAATTAATCAACTTCTTATTCATTTCCGAAATTAGTACCACTCAGATCCTTAACCATTATGTCAGACAATCGTCTACCTGCAGGGTTTAACATAATGTTCCTTCCTGAGCTCATTTCGGGGACGTTATCAATCCAACGCAGTGGAACATAGTGACCGTAAATAATTTATAATAGCACATCATATAATTATTCTTACTTACCAAAATACCTCGTATGTCATCCTAATAAAATAGGAATCACTTGGTAAATCAAATAAATAAGAAATAAAAATATATGCCTATTTTATATTATCTTACAGCCTACGAGAACGCATCAATCACGGAAGGTCTAGGTTACAACAATGGTCAGTGAATCTCATATCCTTATCCTTATGTGGTCCTGTTCAACACTTAACATAAGTGCTAGTGTAATCCTTCAGTCAAAGACCAACTAAATCAAGAATACACTACAGTCTTTTTCCAAGAGGGGTCTCACTGCCTGTCTAGACTGTGAACGAATAGTTTAGTCTTATAAGGAACCTATAGGTGATCTTTCAGTTCGAAACTCTTTGAACCACACAATCTCAATATAAGACGTGGAGTATGATTTGCATAAATAAATAAACTGCAAACATATGTAATTTGACCGAAACATGATGGCCAGATCAAAATGGAATTAATAGAATCTGCAAAACATAGCTTTTACAGCATACCTCTAACAATCTCCCACTTATGCTTTATAAGCTCATGGCTAAACAAAATAACTAAAATTTATTTTAATCTAATTCTCAAAGACTAGTCTACTATGTCGCCCTAAATTTTGACTCCCATTCCTTCTACGTGTCTTGTAAAGACTTTCGTCGGTAGGCTCTTCGTAAAAGGATCTACTAGGTTGTCCTCTGATTGTATCTTGGCAACAACGAGTTCTCCTCGTCCAACTATTTCTCGTATCAGGTGGTACTTGCGCTCTATGTGTTTACTCGCTTTATGAGTCTGTGGCTCCTTCGAATTTGCTACTGCTCCGCTGTTATCACAGAACACTGTGATTGCAGCGGGAAAACTCGGTACCACATAAAGGTCGAGGAGAAAATTCCTGAGCCAGACAGCTTCTTTCGCTGCCTCTGAGGCTGCTACATACTCAGCCTCCATGGTTGAGTCCGCCACGCATTTCTGCTTGACACTCCTCCATACTATGGCTCCTCCTCCTAAAGTAAACACAAACCCTGAGGTTGACTTGCTTTCGTCCTGATCTGCCTGGAAGTGAGAATCGGTGTAACCCAACGGAAGCAATTCATCTGCCTGGTAAATCAACATGTACTCCTTAGTCCTACGTAGGTACTTGAGTATATGCTCAGACCAATGTTCCAGTCCTGGATTACTCTGATATCTTGCTATCATGCCCACGACATAACAAATATCAGGTCGCGTGCACAACATAGCATCAATGTTCTAGAAGTCGCTAGGCGCTCGCTAGGTGCCCGACCAGCGCGTAGCGCCTAGAGCGCCTAATCGGGGCCTAGGCGGGGTCTAGATGGGGCCTAGAAATTATAATAAATATATTATTTTTATTTATTTTTACAATTTCAATAATGAAATTATAACTTATAATTAATAAATCCATACACCTAAGTCCCAATAATATTATTAATATTGTATTATAAGACAAACTCCAAGTCAAAATAAGTACATAACCACAATATAACTTCTTCTCATTGTAATTTTATCAAACACATATCTACATGTTATGTTTTAAACATTACACAACATAAGACAATTATAAAAACCAACTAAACACTAAATTTCACTAATCATTAACTAATTAAATTAGTACATATAATAATAATAATAATAATAATAATAATAATAATAATAATAATAATAATAATAATAATAATAGTAATAATAATAATACAATAAAACACATGAATAACAAAATAAGAAATTAAAAATATATATGCATTTAGTAAAAAAAAAATTGTAAAAGCCGCCTAGAACCCGCCTCAGCCGCCTAGAATCTGCCTCAGCCGCCTAGTCCCGCCAAAACCGCGTAGCCGCCGTGACCGCCGAGGCCGCCTAGCTCTGTCTAGGCCCGACTAGCCCGCCTGGCCGATTTTTATGGCCGACTTTAGCAAATCGTAGGCGGCCCCCTAGGCCGACTTTTCGAACAGTGCATAGCATACATGAGGCTTCTTACTGCCGACGCATAAGGAACTGCCTTCATGTCCTCTACCTCTTGAGGCGTCTTCGGAGACATCCTCTTAGATAGAGGTATTCTGTGTCGAAAGGTAAATCCCCTTTCTTGGAATCCTGCATGTTGAAATGCTTTAGGACAGTGTCTATGTATGTGGATTGGGATAGGCACAACTTTCTCTTCTCTCGATCGCGAATGACCTTGATTCCGAGAACATGTCCTACTTCTCCCAAATCCTTCATATCAAGCTGCTTGGATAACCATACCTTTACGTCTGATAACATTTTCACATTGTTTCCAATGAGAAGAATATCATCCACCTAAAACACTAGAAACACCACCACGTTTCCATCACTTTTCTTGTACACACAGTGCTCATCCAGACATTGGGTAAATCCATACGATTGGACAACCTCGTAAAAACAGATGTTCCAAGACCTCGAAGCCTGGTTCAGCCCATAAATGGACCTCTTCAGCTTGCAGACCAGATGCTCTTGGACCTTTGCAATGAATCCTTCTGGTTGGTGCATATAGATATCCTCGTCTTAATTCCCGTTAAGAAAAGCGGTTTTAACATCCATTTGCCAAATCTCATAATCCATATGAGCGGCCACATCCAAGAGAATCCTGATGGATTTGAGCATGGCTACCGGCAAAAAGGTTTTCTCATAGTCGATCCCTTTTTTCTGAGTATACCTTTTTGCAACAAGCCTAGCTTTGAAGGTCTCAACCTTCCCATCTGCTCCTCTCTTTCTCTTATAGACCCACTTGCATCCAATGGCGCGAACGCCACTGGGTGGCTCTACAAGATCCCAGACCTGATTAGAGTCCATTTACTCTATTTTAGATTTAAACGCCTTTTGCCAAGACTCTGAATCCCGATCTTGGAGTGCCTCAATTTATGTCCATGGGTCGGATTCAAGAACATCCGGGACGGCCTCAGAAGACTCTCCCAGACCCATGAATCGTTCGGGCTGTCAGATAACCCTCCCACTACGACGAGGTACTACCTGCTCAGGTGCATCGTCAGCGATACGTGTTGCAGTACTTTGTGGTGTAACAACTAGCGCACTCGGTATTGAAGTACTCACTCCCTTTAACTCCTCAAGAACATATCTACTACTGGCTTATGATCTAACACATAGTCTTCATCCAAGAACCTAGCATTCGTGCTAACGATTACTTTCTGGTCCTCGAGACTATAATTTAGACCACATTTCGTTTCCTTAGGATATCCCACAAACAGCCCTACTTCTGTTCTCCGTTCCAACTTATCAGTATCGGTTCTCAGCACATGTGCTGGACTACACCAAATCTTGAGATGCCTTAGACTAGGCTTATGCCCAGACCACAACTCCAATGGTGTAGACAGTACTGATTTAGAAGGTACTCTATTCAGAATGTATACTGCTGTTTCTAGGGCATATCCCCAAAACGAATCTGGTAAACTACTATAACTCATCATTTCCCTAACCATTTTCATAAGAGTCCTGAGACTCCGTTCTGCTACGCCATTCTGCTGAGGCGTGCCAGGCACAGTCAGCTGGGACGTAATCCCATTATCCGTCAAGTAGCTCCTAAATTCATTCGAGAGATATTCGCCACCACGATCTGATCGTAATGACTTGATACTTTTTCCTAACTGCGTCTCCACAACTGCCTTATACTCTAAGAACTTCTCAAAGCATTCAGACTTGCGGTGCAGAAGAAAATTGTACCCATATCTGTAATCATCGATAAACATAACGAAGTACTCGAAACCACCTCTCTTTTGAACACTCATGGTGTAACACCCCGACTTTCTATATCATCAGAGTACGCGATTTTTGCAAATTTTCTGAATAAATAAATAAATATATAAACTTCTTAATTTGCGAAACTGATTCGGGGGTTACCGTGAAAAACTTGATTTCTGAAAACCGTTAAAGTTTAAACTGATACAAAAAAACGGTCATAATGTCTTATCCGACTAACGTCGGAGCAAAGTCTGATAAAAAGA